CGCACGCCACCGGGCTGTCACAATGAGGTCGCCACAGGATGGCTCCCTGCATGGGCCACTAGCGGAGTAGCCAATAAGGAACAAAGGCTGTGGTCCTTAAATACGCTGCCACTGACATGAGGCGGCATTCTGCTGCTTGACACGAGACCTTTTAGCCCACACGAGAGCGCGCTACCGACGACACAGAAGGACCGAGCTGCCGGACACACAGAAGACAAGACTGATGTACAAGCAGAAATAGTGACAGTTTAACTATTATCTGCTATCCTATTCTACCTTCTCTTTCTAACACGTAACTGGGGGATAGGACAAGTGTCGACGCAGGCACACCCAAGGTTATAACAGAAGTAGACCCGACTGATTTTCTTATGATCTTTAGGCTGCAGTCTTAGTTCGACGCATATGCTTGAGTAGCGTGGACCGTCTATTAATTGTGACCTATTTTGAAGAATATCACAGTTGACACTGGAACAATCGCTTTTGTTATGGTTAGTTTTGAACTATTACTAAGCGAACAAAGAGTCCGGAAACATCCAGTCAACTTCAGAGACGAATTTGCTACATAATTACATGCTAGAAACGCAAGAAACGGCCCTGGCCCGCTTCTATGGTCTCCCGAAGGTGCACAAAAAATGCGCATCCCTCCGGCCAAGTGTATCTTTCCAAACTACGGACTAGCAAAGTGGCTTTTCCGACGGCTTAAATTCTTCACTGCTGATTCAGAAACAACAGTCAGGCCCTTGACAAAATTACTGGAGAAAATTTAAGTTTTAAGCCTCCAGCCAAACGATTTCGTGGTTTACTTTGATTTCACGTCCCTTTTTACTTCTATTTCACAGGACCTAGCAGTCGAGCCTATGTAAATAATCCTACAAGAGATAAACGATGAAACGGAAAATCGTCTCGGGCACGCCCAAATCCTCCAGCACCCAAAGTTTTGCACCAAGACGTGTTTCACTGCCAACGGAACTATCAACGAGCAGGTGAAGGGCACGCCAATGGGTTCACCCATTTCCGGACTCATAGCAGAGGCAGTCCTGCAACGGTTGCACTCGCGGGTTTTCCAATACTACAGACTGAAATTCTGGGCTTGTTATGTGGACGGCACCTTCGTCTTTATTAAGCGGTATCAGGTGCTGACATTCAAGGAACGTCTAAACGCCGTCTTCTCGGCCATTACATTCAAGATGGAGGAAGATGAGAAGAACCACCTCGGCTTCCTGGATTTACTCGTTTGCCTCAAAGACGGTAGTGGCCTAAAACGTAAAGTTTCCAGGAAAGCAGCCAACACTATACAAGTCCTGAACTACAACATCAACCATTCAATCGGTCACAAACTCAGCTACGTAAGAGTACTTTACCGGCGCGTTGAGACGCATTACAGTGAGTAAAAGACAAATTTGCTGAATAATAATATCTTTAACGGGTACTGATAGAGAATGGTTACCCGGGAAATTTTTCCAACCAATGCATACGCAAAAGGGAGTAGAAGCCACATCCAACTGGCCCAAGGGTTTAGCGAGCTCTTCCGTACGTAAAAAAATGCATTGAAAGCAGTCAACCACTTACTCACCCTACTTAGACTTGGAATTGCGCACAGGCTCGAAGCAACCATCAGGCGCCCAGTCATGAGGCCGAAAGACCAACTGCCACGGCAGGAAACAGCTGGAGTCGTTTACGGGGTCTGCTGCAGTTGTGTACTAAGTAACTACGACGGAGAAACCGGGAGACTACTCCGGACGCGAATGGTCAAGCATGCAGCGATGGTGAGGAAGGAAGACGCCAACTCCCGCGATGCACCTTACTCGACAGGAACTGACCATACTTTCAAGTTTGACGATGCGGAAATCTTTGCATGCGGTGGCAACCACGTGAGCTACGAGCTACTCGAGGCATGCTTTTCAGGCCCCCACTCCATCAATGAGCGCAACGGTTTAACCTGCCCATATGGTGTACTGAGAAGTTTTCTGAGCAAGGGAATCAGTCACATGGGAAGGGCCGGGAGCAACAACAACTCTGACGACAATGGGCATAATTGTCACGGAATTATCACGCCCGCATCCGACGCCGAGAAGGCAATTGTTGCAATTAATGAGTCCAACGCGAAATGTCAAGACAGTCATTTAAGACCCAAGCGGTGGCTACAGAAGTGAATAATTATCATATGCACACGGATGACCGCTACGAACTAGAAAAACCGTGCACCATGAGCATGTTTCACCTTATCCACGCATGACTCGGACTATCCTACCACTACCAATGATTGAGGATCCCCGACGAAATCCGAAATGTCAGGAAAAAAGCTCTTTTAAGTGTTCGTGTCTTCTTCTTCCGAACTGCTTCCTGGAGCCTGCATATTTACGTCTATTGGTTAACTTAATAATGTCGGTTTAAAGGGCATACAGGATGCAATTTGAGGAAGTGATGCAGTGGTAGGCTGTTGTGTGGTATCTCACTTACTACGGAGCAACCACTGTGGACATTGTGGCCTCGGGCAGTGTGGGCGACACCGCCAACGTACCAGTAATATTCAACAGTTACTGCAGCAGTCAGCCACGTTATAGCGATGTTGACTGCGCACTAATTTATTTTCTACCACAAACTCTCCATGTTGATTACATATTTTTATTGACCATCCTAAAATTTCAACAAAGTCTCTATAAATATGTTGAAATTTTTAAAAAAGAGTTAATCAATGTAATGTTGGGGATACGATATTCATTATAATTAAATAAAAAACATCGACGTTCCCCTTTCTGTAGATTAAAGAAAACTGCGCGACCGTGGGGAACGCACAAATGAAGTAAACGTTGCCTCGATTGTGCAGCGTCATTCATTGTAGATACGTCTTACAGTCCAATCAAATTTAACACCAAACATGGTAAGATGCTTCGTAAGTATATGGTCAGAGTGGCTGTTTGCACTTTGATGTGTAAATAATTGTCATAATGCAGGTTTCAAAAGCAGAACTCACGGTTTATTGCATTTTGCACACGTAGCTTCGTCCTCAGCCATGGCTCTGCAAATGTTACCTAGTTCACCATTAAAGGTGGCAAACAGGCAGATGTAGACAGAACAGTGTGCACATCGACTGCAACAAAGCACTTATGGCAGCCTATAGTCGTGGAACACCAATCGAAACAATAGCCTTGTCCAGGCTACCTGTTCCACACAGAGCACACAGAGCACACACTATTTTGTATCAACCTACCTATAAACCACCTACTCGCGTAATTGAAACACAAAAATATAGAAAAACATTCTATCATCTTCCAGCAGGCACAGCAAGCCGTAATTGCATTTATATCACGTTTTCTATACAGTCATGATCATTCGTATGGTTGTCTACAAAAGGCTGTATGGCTAAAGTGCTGCTGGAATTCAAAGAACGACCTCGTAACAAGAAAATGGTAATGACAGGCTGGCGCACATGTTCAGGGCTTGTCCTGCAAATCACTTTAAATTTTTAAGAAATGCGATATTAAGAGTTCGGCTTATGCCATCAAATGTTTACATTTCGATGCCCGCAGTGCCGGGTCTGAGTCAAATTCTCGGCGTAACGAGATAAATTACATTGATAGGCACAACCACTATTGTCCACAATGTCCATGAAACTACCACCAGTTCTGTTGGCATTCATTGAGCAAAAATAGGGTCCCGGGGATTATTTGAGAAGAAACACATGTTATCTCTTAGCCATCTGCATCTTGTCACCTATGGTTCTATCAGGGTGCGCTGGAAACGCTGACTTAAACTGCGTTTCACAGGCTTAAATACACAAGCTTCTTAATTAGTCCAATTTATTCTTACCAGAAGATACCGCCCGGCGTAATAGGATCCAGCTCTAATGGCTTCATATGCATATGGTATTTATGCCAGTTTTACGACGTTGAATCAAAACCAGTGTTTTTTCAAATATCCGCGCTCGCGTCCGCATCCTACTTTAGTGTTCCTGAAGCTGGCTAAAAAACAGGCACCGAATGAATGAGACGGTTCGCGAACCAGGTATTTGCACGGAAGCGAAAGAAGGCGTGTCGAGCATCAAATCAATTGATTTATTGTTCTGAGCTTTCGAACTCTTACAGGAGTCTATCTTC